ATGTTTTCATTTTGTATTTTTTGGAGGTTTTCTTCAATCATCCAATGGTCATAGAGAAACAAATATGCTTATAGAATGAGTTATATTTAAGCAAAAACTTTTCCTGTGAAGTTCATACCATTCCCTTAGGAATAGATACATTATAAATCATAATCTACCATAAAACTTAAAGATACACTGACACATTTTTCCAACTTGTGGTTACTGTTGCTGTGGACTTGAATTTAATACTACTATGAGAGAGGCCCTAGGGGATTTTCTAGTGGAAAATCTTCTCTACAGTATTCAAATCTAATCCATATTGTGCCTATCACCACAGTACCTAAGTAGCTAATACAAGGATTTCAGATTTCAACTGGTTCAGGATACAGCAGAGAGGATTTCTGCTGCATCTGACTAGCTGGGATTGTGAATTTACAGGTCATCACTTCAGGAAGAGGAGACCAAGGGTGTGCCAGAGGGAGTAGAGAGAACAGCACCGTCTGGCCATTGTGCCAGCTCTCCAGCAAAAAGGGTGTTGTAAGCACCCTTTTTGAAGAACTGCAGTCTGTTTCTCAGTTGTAGTAAGCTGATTTTAAATAGGTGCCGATTTCCTGCGAGCTGGAAAATACATGTCCTCCTCCTCATCCATATTAGAACATATTTACACCTTTGACTCCCTTTTTGTGCTTCTTGGATGCAAGACCGGGCTTGAATGCTTTTGTAACCAGATCAAGCAGGTGCTTTCTTGCTCTCTGATGCCATGTTATTGGCAGGATCCATAGCCTCATCTACTAAGCAGGTGTGTCAGGACTAGGGGGTCATGGTGTGGAAGAAAGAGAGCCACTGACTCTCCCCGCTACTGCCTGCTGGCACAGGACTGCTGAGGCTGGTATGCCTCTACCACGTGATCTTACACAGGTGTGTCCTCGGCAAATGGTCTCTTCCTTGATTTGATGTTTGACCCTGAAATGGTACTGCGTGACTGCTGTTGCCCAGCAGCTCTGTTTTCAGCCTACCTAGATCTAGCCCAATTTATTAATTTTATACGCTGTTTTAGATCACAATTGTGATTTAGGAACTTGGAGGCAACTAGGGGAAATTTCTTTTTTCTCACAAGAAATTATCGCCCACCTACAGCTGCTCTTCACTGTCCTCTCTAGAGCAAACCGGCTGCCATAGCACCATCACTTTTGCATGCTCTAACTGATATGGCAATTGTCATAGACTTCCACAGAACCAGGACTTTGTTCTGCAGGCTTCCAGCCATACAATATCACCACTGACAGGATCTTACCGTAATGGTGAGCACAACACCTTGACAGTTGTGGTTCTCCTCCTGTGGAGCTTTGTCCCCATATTGGCTGTATTGATTCTAGCTCAATTCCCTCTTCAGGATACACAAGAAAGACTAAAGAAAGACCACCTCTTCTGGCTTTTGCATACAGCCCGCATTTGCTCTTTTGTAGTTTATACAGAACTGGCACGAAGATGGAAATAAATACCCATGGAGACGGAAATCCGTCTGAAATTTTGATAAAAAGTCATGACACTATTTATGGGAAAAAATGTTTCAGGAGAATGAAAAAGAGGTTTCATAGCCTCACATTCTTGTGTGGTTTTTATAAATTTCATTTTTAACTCTACACAGAAAATTTGTCTGTCGCCTTCTAAATAGCTTTCTTGAGCATAAGCAACCAGATTTTCCTCCCTCTCTCTCTTTCTCCCCAGGGAAAGCTAGAGAGAGTACAAGTCCCTGTCCCCACTGTGTAACTTCACCCTCCTTGCCAAGCCTACAAAGCCCTCACCCAATTTCCCTGTTGTCTGCAATGAGAAGGGAGCCCTCATTTTGAGTTTCCTTAGAGGAAATGGACATTTTCTGGAAAAACTGCAATTTCCTGTGGAAAATATTTCTGAAGGAACATTTCTGATCATTACTAGCTTTGTGGCAACTCTTTTTCTTGTTTGAAGACCAGTATACTGGATTCTTCCTTACGCAGAACATTTTTTTTTAATAAGGTGTCACAAACAATGATAAAGGTATTTAAAATTGCTGGAGGGGGAAACAATGTTGTAAAAAATTGTGCCTTTCATCACTTTTTTCATCACTTTATTTCTGCCAAAAGAAGAGATTGCACTGTTTTTCTTCTTATCTGAAAGGAATAATCTAAAGCAAACTGAAGGCAGTTTAATTTTCTCCTTTGTACAGGGCAATATTTCAAATAGTAACTATATGTCAATGCACAACAGTATTTTCTGTTTGTTTGTAAATATGATGAACCAAGTAAATCTTAAACAATATTTTCAACTTCAAGAGAAAGTTTCAGTGTTTTTCTTACTTGTTGTTAGAATCCGCCTTTTACTTTCATATGTATTTTTTTACAATGATAAAGTTATTTTCATGGTTTACTGCATCATTTACAATGACGTTACACATTTTCAGACTGTTTTTAAAAACTTCATACTTTTTTATTGCATCAATCTCATGTTCAAGATTTCTTCTTTATTATGGTAGCAGGTATTAGTCTTCTGGATTTCTCTAGTTTTGTTTTACACAAATACATCGGGTAATCTAATTCTCTGTCTAGAGATTAAAATGGCATTTTCTGTGTTCTTGAACATTTCCTCCTAAAATCCTACATTGTGGATTTTAAGTTCAGAGCTCAGCTTAGTGACTATGAAGGGAAATATAAAAATAAAAATTTAATGGTGGTTAAAGTGTTCCAAAATAGAGGGTCAGTCAGAGGTAAGTTAAAAGAGCATGAAGCCTTCCTTAATGCATCTTCCTATTGACACCCTGGTGCACAAAAGAGATAAGAAGAATAAAAAATGTGTACTTACAAATTAGTTCAATCTGAAGTTATACCTACTTAAATAATTGCCTTGTATTTCTGAAGTTAATAAATGGTGCCACTACAGAGTAGAGGTTATGTCAGTGACCTATAATACTTGGTCTCTCTGTAGAGTAGTTTCACATGTAGATTTGATAAAGAAAATTCAGTTTAGCTAAAACTTGAAAATTAACATGAAATGAGAAATAAGTGTACACATGCTGACATATGAAATAATGGTTCTAAGAATATTGATAAAATATTTTTTTTCATGCTTTCTTGGAACTGGTTTACAGATCTGTGAATAGTTCTGCACTAAACTGTCCAAAACTAACTAGACAAATATTGAACTCCTCCTAGCCTGTGATTGCTTCAAGGTTACTTGTCAGTTAATAAGAATAATCTGAAAAGATAATAAGAACACAGCTGTCCAATAGCATGTCAAATATTCCTATATTAAGCTAAAGAAACAGTCATCTTTTCCCAAGATAGTGGACACTCAATTGTCATTTCTGTTAGTTTTCTCATGTTGGGAGTTGATGTGCTTTTGTTTTTCGATGTCTTAGTTACGTAGCCCATTTGCCAACAGAATAACATAGAAGTTAAACCAACAAAATGGCATTATAATAAAATATGTGTAAATTAGTAGATTTTGAAAGTAATGGTATGGGTTTACTTCTCAGAATGAAATGAAGTGGGAAACAAAAGTGACAATGTGAAGCAGAAGTAGCAAAATAGTTTTTTGTGGCATATGTTTATATAGTAATTACACTTTTTATTTTGCAGGGAATCATTTGTTAGTGATGCTTCAGTCTTACTAAAAATTATTTGCTTTGCCACTTGCGAGATGTAATCAGTATAGGGAGGTTATTGACATTTTTTTGTTTCAGTTTAAGTTGTATATGTTTCCCCAGAGACCTGGTCATGATGGATTTACACTGTATAAGGAGATGACACATTTTGAGTTTCTTAATTTGATACTTTCATTAATATAGTAGCAGCACAAAAAAAAACCCCAACCCTTTTTGTCTTAATCTCTCAGCCTATATATCATTTTGTAATCTGAGATAGTCAGGGCAGATACTAATATATTGCCTTGGGCACCCTGTTCTGTGACTCAGATGCAATCTTACTGCCTTAAACACAGATACAACATTTTCTCACAGTTCTAGTATCCTGTCCTAAGAGTCCAAATCACCACAGTCAAGAGTTCCCATCTGAAAACTTTCACAGTATTTTTTTATTGCAATTGAGAGTTTTAGTTTCAAATCCTTCTCCTCTTAATCAGCTTTCAATCTTATTTAGTATTTGCTGTTTTCTTGGGGATTATTTTAATGCTTGCTCCTGAGAGCTATTAAAAAATGAACTTTCTTGATGCTTGCTGCTTCTTCAGGCATCAAAACCTGGTGAATTTTCTTAATGTAAGCCTAAAAGCTTCTGACAAGGATAAGTGCAAGATCAGCTTTTCAGGCAGTTTTAGTATGTGAGTGTATGCATATGAAAGTATAACACAGTACAGTGAAAGCTGGATGAATGCCCATCACTGAGCTCAGTTTCTATTATAAAAATGAATTTGTTTATAAAATCACAATCCAATTCCATTTTCGTTTACCATGATTACGATTAAATGTAAATATTATTTTTCTTTATGAACCTGGGGGCTAGTCAAGATACGTATTGTGCTAGTAATTTCCTAACAGCGGAAGAAATAGGTGTTTGGGCTATGAGTATTGAGTAATGTAAACCTGTTTGTTTATGAGGAATGCACAAAATCTTTATTTTTTTAATCTGAAAACAGGAAGGAAAAGAAACCTGAGGAAATATTTGCTTAGCTGATAGATTCAAGTGTGTTTTGAGCAAAAAAAGCTTGCCTTTATGTTTTTCAATGGGCTGTCTTCTCACCTGGTTAGGGTTAAATTTCTGTTTCTGTATATTTCTTGTTCTTCCTCCTGTCTACTCATACCTCTGCTGGAATAACAGACTCAGATAAATTTCTCTGCTGACTGTGCCTCATACGTCTCTTTTGGCTAGAAACTACTCTTGTTTCAGGGTTCTGGTTCCATTAAGGAGCTTAATTATTTTTTACATTTCTTCCTGAATACAGGCACACTATGACACTAGGTTTAATCCAGCTCATATTATTATACCTGCTCTGCCAAGATCACAGAAGTATAATGTTTCTCTTTTCAGGTTCTCTATAAACAAAAACATGCTGCTGAGAAAGGAACTTCAGATTATGCACATATGAAGGAGCCTCCAGATATTAAGCATGCCATGGAAGTCAATAAATACCAGAGTCATGTAAGTACTCCCCCATCTGAAATTAGTTCACTTGTTTTGGGTGGATTCATCTGTTATAGCTAACTGTAATGAATTGGGCATGGAACGTTTTCATATTTCATTAGTTGGTATTTTTTTACATTATTTGGGACATGATGTGTGTTTAAAATATGGTATGAGTAATGGTATGTATGTGACTTTTATTCTGAACTGCATCGGAAAGCAGTTATTATTGTTTATTAGTAGTAATTGTTATTAAGTGCTATCTATTTGAAATAAAATTACAAAGACATGTTCTCTTAATTAATGTGTACCTGCTTGTACTTTGGAAGTGTATAAACTCTCTGTTTACAAGAACACCAGCATGGTTTCAGTGTCTTACACTGTCAACATCTGGGTAATTCTTCAAGGGCTCTGTTTAGAGGAGAGAAGGGGAGAGGGGGCTGTTTCTCCCCTGCTCTTGCACACTTTTATGCACATTAATAACTTTGTTCCCATCTCATGAGTATGTATCAAATGAGTTACAAAGAACAATTTATGACTTATTTTATGGAATCTGAGCCATAGAGTTCAATTTGATACCTGGCACTAGTTTATGCCGTTGACCAAAGTATTTGTTCTTGTAGTTTTACTTAAAGAATTTACAAATAAATTAGAGTGTTTAGCAATATTTTTAATGTTGTTTTAGTTAGTTAGTTAGTTTGTTTGTTTTTACAGTTACAGCTGCTCGTTAACTTCTTGAAACTTCTTTAGGTTTTCACAATATAAAAAACCTAATAATAGTATTTACATTTTTTATTAGTTTCAAGTCAGATTTGATTTCATGGTTGAGCTAGCTTGTACTAGCTCAATGCACCATTGCTAGGGGTGGAAATCCTACCAAGATTAGTGTCTTGAATTATACAAACATAACTGAAGAAAAATGCCTTTGGTTTTGTAAAACCTTACTTGTGAGAAAAAGAAATTTTAGGAGAAGATTAGCTAAAATAGTGAGGTCATTTTAAAGGGTACACAAAACCGGTAAGAGCAGCTGACATGTAGATACCTTTAAAGTTATGATCCATTTCCATTCTTCTTAGGTAAGCAAGTTAAGTCAGGTAGGTGTTTGATTTTATAACTGTCATTGTTCATATAAACAGGATATTTGTTTGCTGCTGAGAGTACAGAAAACGAAGCTTGGATGCTCATTCTGAATTAACTTAAATTTACCCTATCCTCTGTACTGACAGTGTAACAAATGCTCTTAGGTTATGCAGGCCTAAAGCTAAATGTCAATGTTAGATGTATGTCTGTGTGTGCAGAATCTTGACAGCTGGCTGCTGATTAAAAGGCTGCTGGAAAACTTCAGGGAAGCATTATGTTTGAAGAATAACAACTTCTTCTGCTGGGAAATACCTGCGTTGGAACTCCCAGCAGTAATTTGCAACCTGCTTTGATTACAAAATTCCCTCTTCCTGTCAAACTCTGGCTGTTGGAAGCATCAGGATGTCCGATTGACAGAGGGTGGGAGCTGGAAATGTGAACTTCTCTGCCCATAAGCAAGAGATTTTTTTGTGTAGCAGTAGGCATGATGGTGAACTACTAGGAAAGGAAATGTTGCAAAGAGAGATGGGAATCCCTCTCAGAGAAGGTGGTGGGACCAGGAAGAGTATGAGATGAGTTTTTGAATCAAATTCATCATGGCCTGAGGATTATTATGCTAGCTCAAAACCCATCCCCCTTCTACAGCTGTACGTCACCTGCTGACAGAATTAGGGAGAGCAGAGTACATACGTGAGAGTAAATGAAATTCAATTGTTTCATCTTCTTTCACCCTTAAAGCAGACAAAAAAAAAAAAGGAAATGAAGGCAAACGTAGGAGGGGAGGATGTTTTGATAAATGAGAACTTTTAACAGCATGTTAAAAATAATGAAAAAAAAAATGAAGGAAATTATTTTCAGCCTGAACAAACTTAAAAAAAAATCCAACAAACCCTCCATATCCAACATAAAACTCTAACTGGTTAGTTTAATCTGTTTAAGATCAGATCCTTTCTGGTTGCTCATAGGGAGCTACAGTGCAATGGGGATATCTTTATCACACATAAAGGAGCAAGTTTTGTAAGTCCAGTTATTGTTCAGTGGAGTTACACAGCTCCTGCGGGTAATTTTTTGAGCACCATGGTGAATAACTGTGGATTTCTTGTTTTGTATGTACAGGTTTAATTAAGAACTGTGTGAGTTTTCATCTTTTGAGTCAGAGCATGAAATAGCAAGCATCCCAAATGTGGAGCATTTGTCTTTCTGAACTATTTCAGGCTATTTGTAGAGTCACAGCTTTGGAAATGCCAGGAAAAAGGAGGGAAGCTACTGAGGGAATAGAAGGACAAAGCTCTTTTATCCACCACTCAGCACAGTATACCTATGGGAGCAGAATACGTGTTTACCTACAATGCTCTGCCAACTCAATTCAATCTTTACATGCAGAGTTTGCATCTAATAGGATTAGGATTTGTTTAAGACTATTTACTCAGCCTTAAAATAAGGCTGACATTTATACTTAACTCTGTGAAATGTGCAAATTCCTTTAAAAATTAAGACTGTATTCAACTTACAATACATTTGTGCTGTCATTTTGAAACTGTCATGTGCTGTAGGCCTTCACACCACTTTGAATATCATTAACACGCTGTATAAGTGTGGGCTGAAGCTGCATAATAGGGAAATACTGTAAAATCTTCTGAACAATGTGATCATGTATAAGAAAAACATTTTTCCCTTCTTCATACTTAGACTGAAGAAAATTGCTCTCAAAAGTACAAAAGCAACTTTTTTAATGATAGGGAATTTACTTGAGAAATAGTGCTTAAACGAACACACGTTTACCCAAACCAGAGTACTTTTCTGTATAAATAGTGTTTGTGTTTTGTGAACTGAATGTTAATGATGTGACTTTGGCATTTGGAGAATAGTGAAGTAGGGACTGTCAACCTACTTTATGCCTGTGCTTCACTGATGTCATTTAGCTTATCTGGAAATTTCCAAACTTGGGACCAAAATTAGGTGGTGACCCTTAGAAAACCATGAGGTCACAAAATAGTTATTATCCTTAGGTGTAGCTGAGGATCAAATGAATGGAAGAAAGTAATTGAATGACAAGACAATTAAGTTTCTAAAGCAAAGAAAACACTTGCTACATTATGCCTGGGTAGAAGCTGCACATGTTATTTGATGAAGGTACTCAAAGCTGTGGATCACAGTTTTATCTCTTCCATGACCTGATCCATCACTGGGCATTATGAATAGTGAAACAATTTTAAGTATTTGTACAGCAATTTATATATTCTTGGTTAAAATCACAGCATTACATTGTATGAAATAAAGAAATGGTGTTCTGATTTTATAAATAAGAAAACTGCAATACTCATCTGTGGACATTTAAAAGGCAGTTTGCAGATCTCAAGTTGGAGCTGTGGTATCTTTTCTCTTACACTTATGTACAAAACAGTGCTGCTTTTAAAATGTTAGTTGACAGTTGGACAAACTTTTAATGTATATGTATTCTCTTTGCAGTCCATATGATGTCAGTAGTGGTAATTTATAATGTTTCACTGACCATTTAAATTAGAATATTTAAGAAATCTATATTGTTTTAGGAGTAAGCCTTTTATGTGCAGTCAAAGCCACAAAAAATTTTTGCATTCTTTCTGTAAGACCAAATCAGCAGATCTTAAACTTGGTGTGCTTAAACACCATCAATAATATGCCAAAATGTCGATGTTTGTTTGATGCAGATCATGTTAAAGTCAAGCTTCTCCTGGCATTCTGTTCAGTATCTGCATTAGAAAAATCACCTTTCACCCACTAACTTTCTGCTGACAGTGGTTGTCAACAGCAGGTCCCCCTGGACCACTTCCAACTGGTGCTGAAAATTATGTGTTTACTCCTGATGTAATTGGGACCAATCAATTTTCGAGACCATTACTGGAAAGGATGACTGCATCAATCTGTAATGGGCCAGAAGTGTGTTTGTCTCTTCTACACGAGCCAGGAAAGAGTTTTCAACACTGTTTGAGTGGGATCAGAAAAGCTGTTGCCAATGATGATTGTCATTTTCTTAGTGCTGATGGACCCCAAAGCGCAGATGAGAGAAAAGGGGGCAGAGACATAGCTGACAGACTATTAGTTACTGGACTTGCAGCTCTTAGAAAATACAGGGATGAACAGTAAGAGACAAATTCTCTTGGAGATAGGTGTGCAGAGCTCCTTGCTGACTTCTGTGTGTGAATCTCAAGAAGGCAAAATATATTCATAGCTGCTTGTGCATGTTTTAGTAATTTGTTACCTGTAGCTTGGAATAGTTTTGGAATTGGAATAGGGGAGAAGACAAAAGACTGCATGAAAGGTCTGAGTTCTTTAAACCTAGGTGTGCTTGGGTCATTATGTGGCAGAAGTTTAGTTGATTGACTACCTGGGATGTTTTGCAGCCTTGTTAGAAATCTGATTAGTTTGCAGCATTGTAGTGCATTCCAGTGCACTGGCATCATCATGAAAGGTGAAGCATCTTCAGGACCCTCAGCTGGAGTAAATAGTGGCATATTTATCCTCAGTGGACCTTATGCCTTTTTATAAGAGCTGGGGGTTTGGCCCTATTACAGTTAGTCTGCTAATTATGAGCAAGCCCTGAATATTTTCCATGCTTTGTAAAAACTACCAGCATTTCAGAATATGTAATCACACTTGGGTTTAAAGATGAGAAATAGCTTTTGTTCAGATTATTGTTGCTTTTTAAAAATATTCAGCAATGTAACCACTTTTTATTGTAATTTCAGATTGGGGTAGAAAAACACTTTAAATTTAATTAGTATTTGTAATTTACTATTTGCAGCTTCAAAACTAGAGATGGTACAGTTCTTTTCCCCTTTTTGTCCCAGCTTCTTTAATGCTCAAATTTCCCACTGGTCTGCTGTAACTCTCCATTTAGGTCTTTCACTGATGCTCTTAAGCTGTCAGTATGTTAGTAGCTTTTCCCTATGCAGAGGCCAGTTTCTCTAGGTGTTTTGTCAACCTGTGGTCCTCATAAGAAGGAGTAATTCTTGAGCCTTTGCTGATGTTTTTTGGTAGAGCCTGAGCAATCCTTTGAAGTGAGAGTTGAGTAAGGGCATCAGAGGTTCCAGTCAGGGTTTGAGCCTCTTGGTAAGGAGCTGAACCAATTCAGGTGAAAAGATATCCCCTTCCCTGGGTGCTTCTGCTGTTTCCTTTCTTTCGTTGCTTGGCCAAGCTTCGTTTTCTCTTCTTCCCTCTCGTAGGCTTCTCTCTGTCTTCTTGGTGCCCATGGGTGCACGCACCAAGCTGGTTGCTTCGCCCTTTTTACATCTGTTCCCCTGCTCTCCTGGAATAGCTCTGGTTTTACTGTTCTAACATAGCACTATTAAAAAAAAAAAAAAAAAAATCACTCGATGGAACAGAATAGCAGCTGTGTAATAGAGGCCAGCACACTGTCCCAATGGGAGAGGGTCAGCATCCAGGGATTGAGGTTATTCAGGAAATGGGAAACATATTTTTTCTTTCTTTGGCCTACCTCTGACAAACTACTGTTCTGCTGCATAACATTTTTATTCTCACCGGAGTATGACAAGCTGCAGAATGGAGCAAATATATATTACAGACATTTGTAAAATGCTAGATGACTTTCCCTCAGACATAAGTAATAGGTATACTGGTTTAGGTGAAGGAAGAATAATAATTCACTCAGGGAAAGCTATAGCAATTGGCCTTGCATCTAATATAATTGAAAATGGTGAAATATAAAGGACTGCCACTGTCTTATTCCCCCCGCCCTTTCCCCCTGAAATTAACCACAATCCGTTATTTCATGTACTATATGATCATGTCATTTGGGAGCAGTAAGTGACCACATTTCCTCAACTTTATCACCGCTATTCTTGATTCTCTGTTGTTAAATTAACTCAATTCCTAATTTCAATTTTGAGCACATATGCTGGCCCTTAATTTGCAATTTACATGGATGATAGGGTGCTATTTAGAAACCTGTTTCTGCTGCCTTTGTGGTTTTCACCTCACCTCATGTGGTCATTAGGATGAACAGCATATAATTAAGTAAATTCATGTAAAGCCCTGAATTGCAAATGCTTGTCTGTACATCTAGTTTCCTAAAAAAATAGAGGAAGTCTAAACCTAACCAAAACAAAACTTCCAGTGGTTTTAACAAGCTGCAAGAAACAGTTTCTGTTTTCTTGGCAGGTGATACTTTGGGCTGTATTCATCCAACCTATTTATTTATTTATTTATTTAATCAGTGGTTACACTGGTGTCACTCATTGTAGGTTAAAAATTATAAGATCTATTTGTGGGCAAGCAGCCAACAGTCAAGCCTATTTAGCTTGTCTACTTAGCTGAAGCCATATGGATGCAAAATTACTTTCCTGTTGCCTGTAAAATATTTGCCAAAAAATAAGATTTTTTTTTCTTTTCTTTTGACAATAACATTTCTACAAATTATATTTGTTGTTGGATGCTGCAGTTTATGAGTTTGTTGCATTGTACCCAGAGTAAAACTTTATATTGGAAATAGGAACTAGATGCAGAGATTATAAGTGAAACTTCAGACTGAGGACTTTCTTGATGGTGAAATATAATCCTGAGAGGTGTATTAACTTTGTTAAATAACAGAAGAAAACCTAAAAGACTGTCCAGTGAAGCAGGAATTATTCTAAAACTCTATTTCCTGTAGACTTTATTTTATGTTTTCTAACTTTTGCCTATAACTTCAATTTGTCAGGCACTTTTGAATACCAAGGGTGGTTTTCTTAATCATTCAGAATAATTCAGCAAGACAGCTCTTGGAAATTGGCTTAGATTGGCACATGTGCTACAGCTAGGGAGAGGAAAAAGTCTACAGACCCTGAAGAAAGAGAAGAAGGATAACTTGTGGTCTAAGAGCTCTATAGCATCCCTGAGGTCTATGCTGTTCCTGTGATTGCTTTGCTAAATGGAGAACGTTTGGACTCTCCTACCTGTGGTTTAGCCTTCTGGCCAAAGTTTTTGGAGCCCATTCATTATGGTAGTGGCTTTTGCACAAACAGAAAGATTCAGTCTTGCACTTCACATGCCTGGAACACTCAACCTTCTTGTTCCCATGATTGTGTAGAGTAGATAAGTGGAGTTGTGGGGAGTGGGGGGATGCTGGGGTGGAGCTGTGTCATTGAATTACATACCAGCTACACAGCTGCCTATTACTGAGAAAGATGTTCAGGGTGGTAGAATTACAGTTTCTGTTCAATGTAGCTGCAATCTGTTAGGCTGCAGTGCTCAGTACCATAGGGGGTTAGTTTATATTAGAAACAGTACAGCATAGAAAAAATGGTGTACCTCTGAGTAGAAGTCCTCTGAAATTTAATGATAAAACCTAATATTTGGGTCTTTGCAGTACTTTCATTTTTTACTATGTTTCTAAGCAAAACCATTTATATTTTTAATATTGTATTTTATGCTTCTCAGTTTCATCCTTACTGTGTTAACTTGTGTATGGGTCTTGCTAAATAATCCCTGTCAAGCAGGTCTGTGTTGGAATAAATTAGGCAGAGTTCTATTGAACTTGATGGCTGAGTTGATAGGTCATTCAAAGATTATTTATAAACTTCAAATGTGTGTGTTTGTTTGTTTGTTTTAAACAAAACTCTTTTTTGTTTGACAGGTATCCTATAAGAAGGATGTGCAAGATACTCATAGATACACTGAAGTGCTGAACAGGCCAGACATAAAGATGGCAACTGAGATAACAAAGATAATAAGTGATGTATGTTCTCCTGTTACTCTATTTGTATTTTTAGACATTATTTTTTATTTATTCCAATTTCATCCAGATTATTTACAATGCTGCTGAAATTCTCAAATGTCACAAGCAGAAAACCCGCAGCCCCAAATCTTTTATGGAAATTTGATTAAAAAAACCCCAAATCCAACAAAAAAAAACTCCCTTGCGTGGTCCTGGTATGTTACAGAGTTATGGGTTTCTTCTATTTTGATGTGGCAGTATGACCTTTGCAATTATTGGTCATTGATCAAAAGACAATGTTAAGCTTATGTCCTGGTTTTTAGCTGCAACAGAGCTGGGTTTCTTTTTAGTAGCTGGAATAGTGCTGTGTTTTGCTCTCAGCCTGGGATTTGTTATGAGAGAGACACTGATAACATACCAGTGTTTGCATTTTTGTCACTGGAAGTGAAGGACTTTGTGTTCTATTAGTCCACAAGTACAAGATCTAAGGGGGTGAGGAATATTTAAATTAATAAGCTAAATTGGCGTTTGGATATGCCAATGGGATATTCCATATCATATCATGTCATGTCCAGTATATTAGTGAGGGTCTCTTCCTCTTTTGCCCCTCTCTGGCTTTCGGTTGGGCTCTCACTCTTCCGGGATTGCAGTTTCGGTTCGGGATTGTCGCTCCTCCGGGATCATTATCTGGGAATGGGTCGGGCTTGGTCAGTGGGTGGTGAGCAGTTGCACTGGGTATCACTCATTTTCATATTTTGTTACTGTTGTCATTATCACTACAATTTTAATATTAGTATTATTTTAAGTTTCCTTTTATTTCTATTATTAAATTGTTCTTATCTCAACCTATGAATCTCCTTATCCTTGCCCCCCAGCACTCTCCCCTATCCCGTGGGGGTAGGGAGGAAGTGGATGAATGGCTGTGTTGGCTGCTAGCCAAGGGCTAGCCCAGTGGAACTATCACAGCTTACTAAAGTTGGTTTTGTTTAAGCTTTATTCTTGATAACCATTCTCAAAATAAGTGATATGCTCATATGCTATATTGCACTCCAGAAGACATACCAAGATTTTTTTCACCTCAGTACAAGAGAAGCTCACATCCTAGGGCTCCCCTTCCTCCTCCCATCTCAGCTGGCACCAACAGGGAAATGCAATTCCCCGCTGTCCTTCTGTGAGCTGGGCAAACACACTGCTTCTTGTATGAGAGCTCTCCTCCCCGAACTCCCCTTTCAAATTCTTTTCCCGCCCACCGTGACATCTGCTAATGGACAGGTCAAAGAGCAGTTTGAGAAGCAGCAATGTGTGATGCAGTTTAATGTTTTATTGTAGACAACTCAAACAATATATATATATTAAAAGCACTGAGCCAAGATTTTAAGTAACAGCTGAAAGTTTCATGTGAGACTGACTAGGCAGCTATGGAGAAATTAACTTTTTGAATATTCAGGGTTTTCTGAAGACCAAGAACTTCTAATAAGTCTTATGTTCAACACTGAAATTTACTAATTGCTGTTCAAGCCCCCTTTGAGTTAGAGTGGCTTTGGAACTTTTATTTCCCTCAGTCTGTTGTTATGAGGTGTCCTTGCTGATTCACAGTGCCTGAGTAATTCAAGAAGCCTATTTTAGGCAATGGGTAATTTAGTTACTGATATCGCAAAGCACCTATTGTCGGTTCATCTGTGCTGTTTTCTAATGCATTGTGGAAAAAAATTGCAGCAATTTGCATGGGGGGCAGTTCAGCTGGAAAGATCATGTAACACCAGCCCTGTGGGACTAATTCCGCTCTGTTACACCAATGCAACCTCACTGACATCTAGCAGGATTGCAGTGGTAAAGCTGAGAGTGGAATTTGACCTTAAATTTCAAAAAAGCTGCCCCTCAGCCTAGTTTTGTTTCAAGACTGTTTTCAGCTGCTACGAATAATCTTGTGTAAACTGCAGTCCCTGTCATAAGAAATGCTGAGCCACTGTAAGTCATTCTGCCTTGATTGGGAGAATAGTATTTCTCAGGCTTAAGCTATGCATTTGGTCAAAGTTGGATTTTGTGAATGCTGTGCATTGTGTCTTACAATAAAAAAATATGACATTGTTAAGGAGCTGAAACCTGAGAAGGGCTTTTTTCGGACCTGATTGGAACAGCTCTTAAGTAAGTGTCAATGCAGATCACTAAATGAGATGTTTCTGCTAACTTTAATGCTTACATTTCTCTTGATAAAACAAAAGCAAACAATTTCATAGTGAATCATATTCATTTTTTTTAAGGCTGAGTACAAGAAGGGAAGGGGAGAGATGAATAAGGAGCCTGCTGTAATTGGAAGACCAGATTTTGAACATGCTAAAGGAGTTTCAAAACTGTTAAGCCAAGTAAGATACTCTGTCATTTTACAGTGACTTCATTCAGATATCTCATTCCTTGTAATGCAAGAAAATATTTAGATTTTTAGATTATTATCTCTAATTGCATGAAGATTATGTTCTCAAAACTCTTTTCATATAGTAATTGCAATGACTGGTAAATTTAAGATTCTTAGAAAGCAGAATATACAGTTTTATGCAAAAATACAATGAACTTAGACTGCTACAACTTGTCTTTTGTAGAGATGGTGTATATTTATATAGATTATCTAGGACTTCAAAAGTATTAACTGTATGTAATTTAGAGGCAAATTTTGCTACTCATTCAGTTTGAGAAGACCCTTACCCTGTGATTAATCCCACTGAAGTAACTGGGGTCTTTTGTGTAACTGCTTGCTAATGGGAGTAATAGGATCTTAATTTGGCCTGACATGTAAACCACCCGCCTTCCCTCCCCCTGAAACTGAACCTTTTATGTACTTTCTGTTATATATTAGCCTCAGGAAAAAAAATAAATATAAAAAAGAAGAAAAATGGAAGGATTACTTTAGTCTATAACTAAAAAAGAAAGCTGAAAACACAAATATTCACTCCTTTCCTCTTATGAGCCTTCTACTCAGAAGATCTACTCATAAGACTCTACTACATATCAGCCTGACATAGTGAGAAGGGGTTTTTGACTGCTGACCTGGATTTTTTTTTTTCCCTTTTCTTTTCTTTTTTTCTGGAGTAGTTCTTTAACAGTGTCTTGCATAATCCTTGCTAGTAATCCTGTCAGGCTACACTTTGAGCTTTTGTAAACCCAGGAACAAATTCTGCCCTCCTGTAGGAGAAGGATAATGCCCTTTGGAGAAAGCTGTGTCAGTCTTCCCAGAACTAGGAAAAAACCCCAAGTGCAGTAGTGTCTACACTAGAACAGTCTGAAATCAGTGTCGTGTAGCAAATACTTGTGATTTGGCTAGATAGTAAACATCTTCCCTAGAACTAGGATAAAATGAGCATAATGTGTCATAGAGAACAAGCTGCAAAACAGTGCAGTGTCTGTTTGCAAAAGATGGAACTCCTTTTGCTGTCATCAAGTGTGGTTCTTAGATTTCTGCAGCATGATTTGCTGTTTTGCACTGGACCATCATTAACTTTGAAGAATTAGTACTGCACAAAGGGAAAAAGAAGAATACACATGGGGTTTTTTATTGCTTTGTTAATTATGCGTTCAGAATCAAAATTAGTTTGTGTTTTTCAAATAGAAAATGGGCAAGTCGGCTAAGAGATTCTTAGTCTTTTGTATTTAGTGTCATGCAGGCTTTGAAGTCAACCTGTGCTTTCTAGGAAGAGCCAGTACTATGCTACTTAGACCTGGTGGCACTTACAGGAAAGGGAGCTGTCTTTTGTTATAGCAAACACCTTTAGTGGTTTTTAAAAGGGTTCATATATAAATTTAGTGTGTGACAGCCTTTATTTCTACCTTTTCCTTGCAGCCTGTTTTGGAATCTAGTGGGCTTGCAGCTGCTTGTCACCACAAATAGGACCATAGCAGATCCCTTTCCAATAGCCCTCTCCATCTCACTAAGCCTGGTACCCTTAAGGTTGTGGCCAACAATTGCAACAATCAAAAAATACCAGCTGGATCACCGGGCCTGCACACTGGTGCTGAGCCAGCTGCATCACAGGCTTCATCAATGAACTTTTTATCTCATTTTTATTAGATGTGCTTTTCCTCTTCAACAACGCATGCTGCATCTGCAAAAGCCTTATAATAGAGTCTCTTCACTGCCAGGGACTGGGATGGCATCAGTTCCAGTTGAGATCCTTCTGCAGAAAAGAGCATTTGGTGTGCAATTTTAACTTCTTTAGAGAGTCCAAATAGTGCAGCAGGTGTGGCAGGAAAAGGGGAGCAGTTGCGAAAATGTAGCTTGCCTACAGTTTATTTGTAAAGAAGATTCTTAATAAACCCTGGTGGTCCAAACTCTGCAGCCACTGGGCCTGAATCCAAGTTTTGGGATCCTTCCTTCTGTCGTCCTCTCCTCAGTCTACACTGTTGTGGCTCCTTGCAGTGTGGGTGATGGGCCACGTACTTTTAGGAAGGGAGGTAGTGCTTCAGCCATCTGCATGCAGCAGCACAGAGGCTGTAAATCCCAGACTGCTTTCAGCAGTGGGGAGGTGCACTCAGCAATTCCCCACCTGCTCTAAAGGAAAGGCAGTGGCCATGAGTTGTCTCATGTTTTTATATATTATTTGAATCATTAGAGCACTTAGACACACTCATCATAAATCAAGAGCACAGAAAAATGAAGATGACCCCTGTGTCCAAAGTGCAGGGTGGTGGGGCAGGATGAGGAATGCACCTGTGCTGTAGGAAAGGAAGAGCCCTAAATGTGGGTCAGTCGTGTCAGTCCTCTTCATGCAAGGATCATGAAGCAGGCTTGTAACAATCAGAAGATTTAAAAAATAGTAAACTTAATGATCTCTTTATTGTCTCCAGACTTTCTGGCTTTTAGAGTTTCCATTTATTTCTCAGCAAATGAGAGCGTTATAAACTTTTTGTGCTGAAAGTTGATAATCTCCCTTAATAGCATGAATCTATAAGCTGCGACATGCAGAGAAATATTAGTTATTTGACCCTCACAGTAAATTTGCAAAGTTGACAATTCTGATGGATGTAATGGGAAGAGAAGACGATAACATGTTTTAATGTGGTGCATATGGGTAGGTAATTTAGGGAGTATAGAGACCAGGAGCAAGAAGAGGTCAGGCAGTGTGGGTGTAACGAAAGGAGAAAGCAATCAAGGCAAGCAGGAAGGCAAACAAAGTGAAGAAAATAGTGTTAATGTTTGACTGACACTCAAGGCTTTACAGAATCTGTGTACCCTCGCTCTCTTTTTTCCTTTTTTTCTTTTTCTTTTTCTTTTTTTTTTTTTCATTTAACAAAGCTTTTGACAACAGCGGCAGCAAAAATAATAGCTCCCAGTACTAGTATATTTACCCACAGCACGTGGTAACCGCTTTCTGTTGATTTTAAACCAAATTTAAAACAGAAACTGTGTTAGCCCTTGTGAAAACATGAAGCTTGTCAATTTGCTGAATGTACATTGTATAATTTAGGGGTTTTTAGTATTTTTTATGAAACAAGATCTTGTTTATGTCTTCTTTATGTCTTCTAATGCATTTTATTAGCCTTTTCAAAGAGCTGCTGATATGAAGTATTCCCCTTATGGTGTTCAGTAATTGGTTTTATGATGAATAATTTTGGATATTTGTATTTTATGCTGGATCTGGTGTTTATTGTTTCAGGGATAAAACTATTAGAGGTAGAATGTTTTTCAAAATGCCCCTTCTTTGAGATGATCAGTAACAACACAAAGAGCCTAGGATTTTCTCAGTCTTTCTTTGCTTTAAACTCTGCTAATGCTTTTAGCAACCAATATTTTAATTTATCTCTTTATGTTACATTTCTTTCAGTATCTATATGCTCTGATAGGTTTTTCATTTTTTAAAATTTGTTTTCATATGGTCATGAGGAAATACTTTAGCTGCAAGTGTCTGCTTCATCCTGGGATCCCAGTGGTTGAATGATTCAATTTTTGTAGTTTCTTTGTAAATCTGAACAGTGGGTGATGTCATCCACTTCTGAAACTGAACACTCCCTGTGTGAACAGCTTTGAAGTACAGATTTGATTTAGGAATGTTGCTGCAAAGCTTCAAAAGACACTGCTCTATCCAGCTGCAGTTCTGACTTTTATAGGTCTTATGCAAGGCTGATGAGAAGTTTGTTTATCCAGGCCTTACTTAATTCCAGTTTGGTTTTTCAGGGATGTTGTTTTGTTAAAAGCCTGCAAAGTCTGCTGTTACTTCATCAACAATTAAAGAGCTGCCTACATGAATTTCTTTCTAATTAAACCACAATACATACTCTCTAAAAAAATAAACAAACTTAAAACTTTAATTAAGATGGTAAATAAGTAGCCATGGTTTTAAGCCCTCATTAAAGTAAAGCTTTTGGTTAACAAAGAAATTTGTAGATAAGCTTCCACTAGCAACTGTCATTTCTACTCCCACTTTTTGTTAGCTCTTCCACCATGTTACAGTGTTGGTAAGACCTCCCCCCTTCAGATTTTTTAGAAAGCAGTGATTGAGTATTTTTCTTCCTTGTTTTTAATCAGAACCCTTTATCTGAGGTGTATTTTACCCTTTAAACCGCATTCATAACTTTCTCTTGTTCAAAAGAAGCATAAATACCATGTGCGTTACTTCACAGTGACTCATCGATGGGCTTGCTCTTTCTTCTCCCTCTCCCATCCCACACTTTCTTTCAAAAGAGAGAAGGAAACAGGAAAATACTGACAACAGAGAAAGTGAATGTGTGTGTAGCTTTCAATGAGATGAATCCCCTATGACAAGTCAGAGTTAAATTACTGCTGGAAGTGCTCTTGAGACATCGCCAGGGTCATCTGATATTATTGTGTGGTTACCATTTTGCCCCGGAGCTACACGTGCAGTGATGTTGGAGAGGAGAGCAAAGGCAATAAGCAGAGCAGCCAGATGAGGCAGCAGGACCTGAGAAACTGAGACATCCCTCACTGCAATGGGAGCATTTACA